CAGAGGCTAGGCTGTTTTGACACTTTGCCCAAGGAAGTGCCTGTGAAAGGCGCAGGCCCAATGCAACACTTGAGTTCCCTGACTTCATTAGGAAGCGGCTCTTTCAGCAGCTTTGCCACTCCAGTCCCTTGGCTGAAAGGCCTATTTGGACCCAATATTGTTTGTTTAATAGAGCTTGTTGCTTAGGCCCCTACACTGACTAGTGCTCCCAAGGAACGAACCACGGTAGTGGATGGATGCTGTAGGTAAAACGACATGGGTGTATGGCAGACAGGCATTAAATAAGATAAACCGACTGTTCATGTAAAGGACATATACCAATACACCACCATATATCAGCTAAGCCACACACATTTCAAATTAAACTGTGATTTATGTCATTAAATGCAGACATACAATATTGCCCTATAAAACTAACCATCTGTTTGTTTCCTGCACTCCAACATAACATGACCCATTCTGAAACCCTTACACTAAGACAACATAGATAGCCACCAACCCCGCCCACCCCCCGCATTTTAATACAGTGAGCCCACCAAAGGGGGCAACAGCTGTGGCCGTCACCAGGAAAAGCATAGAGGGCAGGAGGGACAAAGCGGCAAATGGCCAGCGTGAAACCCGGGGACCCAGAATGTTCTCTAGACAAATAGCACTTTGCCTCTGACACCAATTAGAAGGGGGAAATCATCTTGTCAGTCTCAGAGGAGCACTCAATAAAGGAATAAATGTTTTTAGGCACTCACGCAGAGAGCCCCCTCCTCTGCCCAGTCTGGCTCCTCAGCTATTTCTGCTCTGACCTTCTTTTTTTTAATCTAAACTTTAATGTGCACGTTGTGGCAATGAGCAAGCAGGTTTAGGTTTCTGCCTCTGGGCCCCTCACTCGTTCTGGGTGACACTCGGGCTTTGCGATGACAACGGCTTCCCCACCCCCACCCACCATCCCCGTCCAGCCCCAGTGTTTTTGTTTCCTTTCACAAGCCCAATCCTCACGGTATGCATGTCCTGATGGCCCATGAGGCTGTGAAAACCCACTGTATCCGGCAAGACGGCTTCATTAGACACTGCTGCAGCACATCACAAGCTTGGGACAATATTGCTGTCATCAAGCCCCGCTCTTCTCCTGCCCCCACCAGATGCCCTGTGATTCACCCATAAAGGGGCATAAGTAGTTTAATCTGAATACATTTGAAGAAGGCCCCGTGATGTCGCCATTTTACAGTAACAATACATGCATGTCCTTACGCTTCTGCTCAATGTCTTTATCAGTCACCAAAAAATGAACTAGACATGTCAATTAGATTTTCTCTGGCATTGCTCAAGACAAAGAGCAATCTTATAAAATAAAAAATGTGTCATGAGTCCCTACTGTTGCATCAACTCCATTTGCCTGAATCACAGATGTGGGAAACTACAGCTTAAAGAATTGATTTAGTTTGTGAAAACTAACTATTGTGCACAATGAGCAACTCTCAGCCCCTGAGCTCTTGAAACCGACCCCCTCCTACTCACAGAGGACAGAGACACACGGTACCCCTCCCCAAGCTGCAGACAAGAACCCCAGCCACCCTGCGAGCTGCAGAACAGGACGAAAAAGGCCTCTGCCAGGCCTACAAAGATAACATCTCAAACGCAGCCATCGGAGGGCAGCTCCTGTTCAGCTGTCTGCCCTCATTACTGCAGGCTCCAAAAATGCGGGACCCTACCAGACAGCAGAATAGAAAGCACTCTTTCCAGAAAAAGTCCAGGAAAAACACAAAACTGCAAATGCTAAAATGCCAAGCACTGACCCCCCCCCCCCAAAAGGACCTTCTCTTCTCATTCTATGTCCCACAGTAAATGACATCCTTCCCAAAACATGTGACCACACAGCTACTGGTGAAATGAAATGTAAGTGCCCAAGAGAGTGACAAAGAATGGGTACTCAAAGAAATCACCAGTAGCTGAAGGTGCAAATCAACATACTATACTTCTTGAAATTGCGAGACTGCTCTTATTCTACCAATTTTGTTATATATACTAGCGATAACCGGCTCAAACCAAGGCCATGTTGAAAAAAAAAGTGTACAGCCATGTCAATAATTCAACACATATACATCACAGTTAAAAGCCCACGTGTTCTAGGCACAATTTTCTGTAAAAACAAAAGATCGCTTCATTATCTAAATCTGTTAAAGTATTTAACCTTTCAGAATGTCCAAGATATAAACAAGAAAAATATTACATACTTATTATATAATGATAGTATATAATACTCCCTACTTGCAAAACTAAAAACAACTTAGCTTAACGTCACACATGGGTTTATGTGCCTAATATCCTAAACTCAAATGGTAAAATATATAGCAAAACACTTTAAATCATATTTCTTACATTAAGTCTAAATGATGTGAGAAAATATGAATTATTCAAACTTATCGTCACAGCTCCCTTACGATTTTAGAACAAACAAAATAAGAAAAAGAAAAATGTTGTTCAACACTAAAATGATCTATATAAAGTATGGAAGGCTCTGGATTCCAAGGGTTCCGGTAACACACACACACACACACACACATTTACATATGTAAACCAGCTAGTGCTCAACTCACTTATTTGCTTACCAGTTGTTATTTGTACAGTCATAACAAAAAACATGGTAATCAGATGAGTGTGTCTGTTTTAATCACTAGGTCAGTGTGTGTGTGTGTGTGTATGTGTGTGTGTGTGTGGGGGGGGGGGTATTCATAACATTCAGTGCTGTTTTCACCAGCTAAACCCTGGGCGCTCTCTCATGTGCTTCTCAAATGTCCTGCAGTGGCATTCTCATATATCCATTACCATTCACGAAGGCTCACACAAGTGTCTCAGACATGCACATCCACATGTGTCGACGACACGAAAGCAAAGTCTACAGCCTGGTCCAGCACAGCCAATGAAACTGGAGGAGCAGATGGGATTTAAAAAAATTCTACACACATCCACAGCAATACAGGTGGAGGGGGGCACAGGAAACACTATAGATACAACTGTTCCCTCTTTACATATATTCACCTGCATATTCACTCTGAAAACTACTAAATATGTAGATGGATAAATTTTATTTTGTGTAAATTATAAATGATTTTTTTTGTGAGCTTAAGCAAATCAAAACAGACATGCTTGTGCTTTAATTTTTATACTTGTCTCAGTCATGCATTACATTTGATGCCACAAAAACTTTTCTGCTAAAAATAAAAGACCACAAAATCTTCTAACACATTATCCACCCTGCTTTGGCTTCTTCCATACAACACATTCATTCCTCTATGTCCTCAATCCTCTTCTTTCCATTACACACAGAGAAATACATGCATATCTCACTCAATACAGAATAATGACCACTGCTACGTTAACGATTTCAGCATCAATAAAATTTACTGAATTTAGTAATAAAGTCTAAACCAACAGTGATATTTGTATGTATTCATTTCTGCATGCGGCAATATAAACTTATACGTAAAGCATAAAGTGGCTCATATCAGCTACAGATATATATTGAAGGTGGGTATATTTTAGCCCTGCACTGACACATTTTCATGTGAATAAGCCTTTCTGATGTAGGGAGCATAAAATTTTGATGCCATGATTTAAAGGGTTAGAAATGGAGCAACATATAACTTCAAAGAAAAAGCTTTAGGGGATGTAATATCATAAAATGTCGATCCTTTAACTATGAAACCAGACATTAATGTTTAACTAAAAATAAAGACACCTCAACTACATCCACCCAAGCATCCATCCATTTTTTTACAAGCTCGTGCTTGTTAATCTTTTCGACCTGTGTGTAAAAGAGGATTTTACACAAAATTTGTTGAAGCACAACTCAAAATATAACACAATTCCAAAGAATTCTAAATCTTCCCTTGGGAAAAAAAAACTTTTTAGAGTACCCATTGAAGGTACATAATATATGTTGTGGTGAAATTTATCAGTGTGTCTTTTATTGTCAGTTGGATATTAAACCAAATACAAGGTAGTAAAAATTACAACCAGAATATCTATCATTCACTTGTGAAGGCGATGGTAGATGATTGAACAAATGTGTTATTCAGTTACCCAATTATACTCTAACTGTGGAAAAAAAAATTATTTTTTGAAAATCTTACTGCCTCACATTAGTTAATGTCTTTATCAGCACAGAAGTACCTGACATATCCTGTTTCTTTAAAAGGTTGTCCGTAGCTCAATAAGGTTCCTGCATTCCAGACTACGAGAGGTGGCTGTTTCAACATGTTGTAAATATAATGTGTTACGAAGAAAAAAACAGTTAAGTATAAAATCTAAGTTTGTGGAAAACACTAGATGCACTTTTTGGTAAAGCGTGGGTAACCACGATCCCATCTGCAAACTGGAGTTTGACATATGTCTCGCGCTTTATCCAGCGTTATCTAATCAGTGACAGTAAACGGCGACGATCACATGAAAGCACGGATTTCCAAAGACACAGATGTCATTTCAGTGGGCAGATACATACATTACAATCAGTGCGGCGAAGAAAGCAAATCATGCGTAATAGGTAAAGCGCAGAAGGAAAACGGCTATTTGATCATCGGTGTCTCACTTTGGAAATACTTTCTTTTGCACAAACTAAGAAGAAAGTGCGAAAACAGAAATAAACAGATCTTTTTAAAACTAATTAAAATAAATAAGAAGACTCATTCAAAGTTGATATATTAACGTAAATATTTCATAGAGATGATCACAGAAAAAATGTATAGAAAGTGTAATGTTTTTAAACTATTATTAATAATAATAATAATAATAACAACAACAATATAGAAAGGCCATATGGCATACTTCAGTTTTAACTGTAAATTGTGATATGTCTTTGAGAGAGAAAAAAAGGTATAGCTAAATCTAAAATAGTCTTCGCGACTTGTTATGAAACTGACCAGATATTGAAAGAAGACACCGGGCTGTAATGTTAAAAGAAACATACAGCTACATTTCATAGAAGTCACATCTCTTGGAGAGGTACTTACCTTGACTGTAAAACGACACGCTTACAAGAGTGCCACAAAGCACTATAAGAAACTGCATTTTTGAACCTTGTTTCTTCAAGTTGTGCCGTTTTGCAAATAAAAAATAAAAAATACACTTTTTTGCTAAGTTCAATGAACGTCCCTCACATTAAAGGGATTGAGATTCATAACTACTACTTTCAAATCATAGCTTAAACGCCTCTTGAGTCTGCTTTAGTCCCGCAGTTGCGACGGCTCTTCAGTTGAGAAGTTTTGCCGCACGACGTCAGACTACGACGCCGCTGACACCGCGAGCGCCTGCTGCAACATTAGCGTGCGCTTAGCAATGCTGGACGATCAAAACGGGGACTGGACTGTACCAAATCTTGAAAGGGGATGCTGACATATAATATTCGACAGACCACATAAACATACGGTTGCCATCTCTCTTGTTTTTCCAGATGCGTGTTTAAAGGTAGATTTTCATAGCGAAGTTTGGAAATATAACCCCCGAGTAGCGTTTTTGGTTTCGAGTTAAAATTTTTATGTTTTCAATGCCCCTGGGGGTGTGTCTGAATCGTTGTATCTGGGGCTACCGAAGTCGCCGTGTGGTTTCACTAAGTTAAACTGTTTAACCTAAGGTTAGTAGTCTGGGGATTAATGAATCTATTCATACTAATGAATATATTCAAGAGAAGGTATGACGCCTGAGTATCTACTGTTTATTCTTCTTTCGAGGGTTTATACTGCGAATGGAAATGAATTCGGGGGGAAAACAGGTCCGCTGTGTCCGTGTATTGGTTTAAATGGATTCAGGTGTTTCTTTTGTCCCAGTACAGACTTAAGCGCGAGAAACAGACACGCTTCCCGTCCATACGTTGCATCTGCAAAGGAGTGCAATAGTAAGTATAAAATTATAAGTTGTTTGTAACAATAAATATCTAAATAAAATGCAAGTATTCCTATCATGCTTACCCACAACTGGAAATGAACATATTCGGAGTACATATTATATATTGATTTTAAAAAATACTAAAGCCGAATACGACATATACACATTAATCTGATCTAAGGGTGGATGGTTAATGAAAACTGTGGGTTTCTGCCTTAGGTACCCTAATTCCAGTACTTTCCTGGAAAGGGGCTTTGATGCAGTGAGTGTCGTTGATTTACGAGATGAGGGAACTACAGTATGCATTATTCCAGGAATGGTAGCGGGAAAAATGCCAAAGAGTTGTATCAGGGCCACGTTGGAATTAATTCTTTTCAGCTGCCAGCGTAAAGTCGCAGCAGGAATTTGATACACATATTTCCAGTGTTTATTAATAAATGACTATGATGGGTTGGCACCCCATCCTGGGTTGTTCCCTACCTTGCACTCATAGCCTCCAGGATGGGCTCTAGACCCGAGTTACATCAAATGGAGGGATGGATTAATAAATGAACTAAATGTAGAATTTTACAGAATTCAGATTATGCTCCTGTAGTACCTTCAAGCATAAAATATGGTATGGTATTCTCATGACATTCAATAACAGACAGTGCAGATGTAGGCTGATTAAAAAGGAAACCTTAATTATATGCTCAATCATCCACATGGTGTTAAAAAAATATATATATGCAGGCATTTCCAAGATTGGCCAGCTATTTACCGGATTCTATGACTGGGGCCTCATTTCCACTGTTCATATGGCGATCTGATAGTGGGCAGACTTGACACTTAATCCTATTAAGACGACAACTCAACAAAAAGAAGAAAATGGCAGCTGGAGAAGACACTTGGTCTTGTGAACACAGTAACTTTAAAAGTATTTAATGGATCTTTTTCACCCTTTTCAGGCATGTTCTAAGGGTGAAGATCTGTACCTAATCAGATTTTGAGACAAATCGAAACAAAATTGAAGGAGCACCATATAGTGATAGCAAAGAGAAGGATGAGTTGATTACAGACTTATCCTTGTGAACAGGATGTCTGTTTGTTATTATTATTCTGTTTGATCTTTGATGGATCTTGGCAAAAATATTAAATCTGCCACTGAAAATCTTACCCATAACAGACCCCAGATCAACCCAGAATTGGAATTGCATGACGGAGGGCAGTTGAGTGCGAAAATGGACCCTGCAGCTGCCATCTTATGAACACAGCCATCTGCTATCTAAAGTCCAGTTTAACAATGGCATACAGATTGGGATTGGAATGAGGGTACTTCTCCCCGTCCTGAATGTCCTTAGCAGACAACTTGATTACTGTCATGGAAACATGTTCTGTGCATTATAATGCATTCTCTGCAGTCTTCAGGCACTTTCACACCAACAATCTGGAACATGGTTCCTGGTTACAAGTTCCTGGGCTGTCTCAGCCAGTGACTTTTTATCGCTCCTGGCCACTTTCATTTGTTGCTTTCACATTGCACAACAGGAACTGGAACCTTCATGCTAAATAAGCATGGGAGACGCAAAAAGCTCTTAGGTTACCCTTCACCAGTGTTGGGCATTTCAGGTCCAGAAACTACAAATCCAGACAAAGATTTTGTTTCTACCAACCAGGTGAGTACTCTGTGACTGTGATTATGCTTAGCCAGTTGGTAGAAACAAAATCTTGGTCTGCATTTGTAGTTTTTGGACATGAAATGCCCAACACTTTCACACATATAATTCAAAATTACACCACGCCACCCCAAAACAATTGAGGATAAACAAGTTGTTTTGTTAGTCGATCAAACGGGACACAGCTTTTTATTTATACTCATTCGTTCATTTTCAGTATTATGGAGTTCCATGTGATTGATCATTTGGTTTCACAAAATAAAACTTGATGCAAAGTGTTCCGCTAATAAGCACTGGCAAGTTTCACTCCTGGCACAAAAGTATATTGGTTATCGGTCAGATTTTTTGATTCAGAAATATAGACGCAAGTGAAAAAATGTATTCATGAAATATATTTGAGGTACAAAAATGATTCCATCTGCGCCATTTCAGCTCTACTAATTATCTCTTTTCTCCACACTTCTGGGTGCTTGCAGTCAACAAGCTATCACTGTAAGAGCTTCCCTAGTATTCATGTTCAGAAGAAAAGTACCTAGTCTGGAGTAGGTACTCTGCCTCTGAGGAACTACAATCGGGTCGAATTCCTGCGGTATGAACACAACAAAAGTCCCTGGTTCTGGAAAAATGTTCTGGTTCCCTAAAAAGATCCTGCAGTGTGAAAGCACCCCTTTATGACTATCTGCAGAGCTTTCACACTGTGTGGTGGTTCCTGTTGCGATGCTCTTTGAAACCTATGTAGATCTGGATAAGGGCTTGGCAGTTCAGTCCAACCTTTTTCAGCAGTTTTATAAAATGCAGGCACTGCTGAGCTCTCTTAACAGTGGCCAGTGGTATTTCATGAACAGCACAGATTATTAGACATGTGTAGTCCTAGGAACTTGGAACTTTTTACCTGTTCCAACTCAGTGCCTATGATATAGAGTGGCTGCAGTGGAGGGGTTTATTTCCTGAATTCCTGACACTTCGTCAGGGTCTTTCTTGTTCCTTCCCCTTTTGGCCAGCAGGCGTCGCTGGCCATCCTGTCTCTCCTGGTACCCTTTGTGTTTTCCCCTGCTCCCTGTCAGCCGCATGGTTCAACGTTCACACGGCTGCCTGTGAACTCCTCTGTCTTGTGTTCAAATCCTGCCTCCTCTGTTTTTGTATTCTGTTTCTAGTGTTTCATTTGTTTAGTCCTTGTTCAGTTCAGTTTTGGTTTCTTTGCTTTGTGCCTTAGTTGTGTTTTGCCGGTCTTTGTTATTCCCAGTGTTAGATTCTGTTTTCCTTGTTTCTTTGTCAGTTCTTAGTGTCCCTGTTTAATTCCTTGAGTTAATTATTAGTGTCACCTTTTGCCTGTTTTACTAGTCCTTCTTAATTGTTTTCACCTGTCCTGTGTTATCCTTGTTAGACTGTTGTATTTAACTTCCTGATCCCATTCTGTTACTCCTTGAGGCATTAATGTTGCTGGAGTGTTTGATGCTGTGTTTGTATGCTGTGTTCTTCGTTACCTGCCTGCCCCTTGTTGCTCTGACCCATTTTGCAATTAGTCTTTGTTTATCCCCATTTACTTTTGACCCCTTGTGGTTCTTTTATTTTGTTTATTTTGTCCTAGTGTTTTCTGTTTTCATTAATAAACCCCTTCTGTTCCCGTGAGCCGCAAGTGGGTCGTCCACATTCCCTTCCTGCCTGCATCGTGCCTCGTCCTCGCGCCCAAACCGCCCGAGTCCGTGACACTCTTTTGTCTTTTCGAGGTTCGGGAGGAGAATCCTTCTCTTCTCCATATACAATGAGGTCACTCACCTGTTTCACATCTCATTGCTGTTAATAAGTCCAAGTATGGTTCTGTGGTCTGCATTTTAAAAATGAGGTTCTGTTTTTGAGTGTATGAGCAGTCATATGTGTGGAGGGAGAAGAGTTATGGACTGAGACTGCAGCCGTAAGGGGGACCAGTGCTTATTGTGCATTAAGCAGTCACTTCGTTGCCCGACCTCACCACCTGTGGTATGCCAATTAGAAAGTCCAATATGCAAGACCTGCCAGTTTCACCACCAGCTTAGTGAGCTAGATGGTAATGAATACTGAGCTGTAGACCAGGAATATGCATTTCTATTGTCCAGATGCTCTAGGGCAGAGTAGAACACAAGAGCTACCACACCATCTACTGACCTGTTCGGCAATAGATGAACTGTAGGAGATCACTGGTGTGTGGCATTATGGAGTCAATGAATTTTAAAACCCTTTTCTCCAGGCATTTCCTGGCAACTGATATGAGTGCCATAGGGCAGAAGTCATTTAGTGAAGCTGTGTTAGTCTTTTTGGGGACTGGAACAATGACAGAATATTTGAAATTGTATGGAATGACTGCCTGGGTCAGTGAGATAGTGAAGATGCCTGTGTATACACCTAGCAGTTGCACAGTAGATTAGATTTCAGTACTCTTCATGACACTGCATCAGGTCCCATTGTTTTACAAGGATTACCTTTCTGGGGAGGAATAGGAAAAGGAACATGGCTGTGTAGTCGTGCATTTAAGTCTTTTGGGAAATGTGACAATTAGATTTTGTCGACATCACGTATATTGTACGATCAACCCATATTGAAAAATAAAATATCGTGTCGGGTTTTGAACCAATATGGGATATCTTTTGTGTCCTGATTGAAGTTTGCAGTTTGAATTAGTCCCCCCCCCAACAAATTTTATTGTTGTGGGCCTGGGGAGAATAAATTTGAAATGGGAGAATTATTATGCGTTGCTATAAAGATATGGGCTCAGAGATGTATACATATTGCTTGCCATGCACAGTATTAGATGACCATAATGTCTAATTTCCACCATTGAATTGGTTGACACATTGGAAAAGGCCAGGTCTAGCAGAATAAGACCAAGTTGGATTGGGAGACATACTATGCATTATTACAAAGATTCTTCACCGTAAAACCCATAGTGTTAGGTCATGTCACTCTTTTGGCTTTGCAGTCACATTTTCTTGAGGCAAGAACATAAATAATCAAAGCATTACATTTAATTAAATTGAAAACTACTTTGAGAGATTGAAATAGCAAATTGAGTACAAAAAAAGTTAATTGTATTCTTGAGAATGTTAAACTGAATTGTGTACTAGTGTTGTAGTTCTCGAGACCGGTCTTGGTCTCGAGACCGGTCTCGAGACCAATTTTTTGTGGTCTCGGTCTTGTCTTGGTCTCGACTCGATTTGGTCTCGGTCTTGTCTTGGTCTCGACTCGATTTGGTCTCGGTCTTGTCTTGGTCTCGGACATAGCGGTCTCGATGGGTGGGGAAAAAAAAGAGAAAACTGCGCATCCTCACAGAACAGTATCATTATTTATTACGCACCTCAATTCAAATGCAACCAGTCAGATGCATCCATTTCAAAAACGTTACATTTTATACATTTTCTCCACGGACACTGCCAGTGCTTCACAGTCCACAAACATCATACACATCGTATCATACATCGGCAAAAAATGTCCGCGAAGTCTATAGCATAGTTATAATTCAAATAAATTAGGTATTTTACATTGATTAGAAAGCACGGTCTTGGAGGTGCAAGTCAATCTGGAGGCTCATTCTCTTCAATTCAAAGCAAAGGATCATTACATAGCTGTATTCATAGCTTACCTGAGGTCTCTGTCCCTGGTATAAGAGACTTAATATGAACATCTTTCTGGTACATCCCATCTCTTTCCCTTGACGAGGTCTGATAAAATGGTTATAGGAGAGGATTGCTGAGAATATTATTTTCCATCAGGTCTCGTAATTATGACAAATCTGGGAGATTTTAAATGAGAGACATATGGACATACGGACAATATAATTGAAAAGATAACATGAATTTGATTTAACGAGTAATGACACTTTACAGCAATGCCTTTTTCTCTACGGTTGATCTGGGTAATGTGATGTCGATTCTAGCCCTAGTCTGTTTTCGGTCTTGGTCTTGGTCTCGACCAGTCTTGGTCTTGGTCTCGCCTTAGTGTGTCTTGGTCTTGGACTTGGTCTTGGTACCCTCAAGTCTCGGCAGTGTCTTGGTCTTGATACCCTCCGGTCTCGGCAATGTCTTGGTCTCGGTTTAGGCGGTCTTTACAACACTATTGTGTACACAATTTAGTATACCGTGCCTATGAAAGAAAAGAAAAAAAACCTGCCCCATGAAGATAGAATTTAGAGAAGTTACATTTTTGGATATGTTAATATGATCATTTTAATTATACTGTGTGTGTGTGTGTGTGTGTTATTTGCATTTCTATCGACAATGTGTTTATTGAAAGTTGCCCCCCATCCTGGCCATAATGGACTATATCTACTTTGAGACTTCATGCTACTCAGCTTTTCAAAGTCCTGTGTTACTGGTTGTTTCACTGACAATCAAACTGGCACAAAGTAGCCTAACAGCAGAAGAAGAAAACTGTGCAAAGATATAGTCTAACATTGCATTTCCTATATCTTTTATACTATCCCACTAGAGTGGCAGAGAAATTAGGACCAGACATGGAAAGAACACAATTAAACTTGTGCAAAAATTCAAAATTAACCTTAGCCTAAGGGGCAGAGTATAGTAAAGTCTATCTTAGGCTACATCCTAGAGCCCCAGCAAAAGAGGGAATAGTTCAACTTGGCTGTTCAATCCACCAGCATGATACCTTCTCCCAAATGGCACATTTTTTGACAGGACTACTGCCCCCACCCTGAATGGTAAGTTTGACCACTGACACCTTGTGCTTTGATTAGCAGCTTTTTGATGTTCCATTGTTTTTAATTCCCTCTAGGTACTCTTTTGGCTCCAACAAGTAGTCCAAGTGCGTCATTTATGGTGCTTTTCCACTGCCAGAGAAGAACCAAGCCATGCCCGAGTTATATTGTGAACTGACTTTTTTTCCATTGTAAATGATCCAAGCCGTACCCACACTGACAAGGCCCTGCTTACTAGCAGGGCCGAAAGCATGACCTAACCTAGATGGTTGCCTCACCACTATCTGATTGGTCAAAATGCATGGAGATACCAGTGTTCTGTGTGGATATCCATGGATTATCTGAAGGTAAAAAGGATATATTCTATATATTATTAATTATTAGTGGTATTGCACATCAGGATGTATTGAAGCATTCCCAATAACTCCAAACCTGAACATTTCTAACCACCTATTTTAATAAAATACTATAGAACTGAACAGAATGGATTTATAATGCAAAATTAAACAAGCAAATGGTAATTCCACTAACATTCGACACTAACATAAAATGATGATTCATACAGACTTGCTAGCAGAAATTAGCACATAAATAATGATGCAGCAGTAAATCTCTCTCCAGTTTTACGTCACTGTCGCTCTCCAAACCCAGCAACGCCTTTACCGAGCCGACCCTTCTTGAGTGAAAAACTGAAGCGAACTGGAACTGCACTGTAACTTGTTCCCCTGTCTGGGGTGTGGCTCGGGTATGGCACAATTCCTGTATACCTGTTATATCACGTATATCATACTGCAAATGAGAAATAAATAGAATAGAAATATTTAGACATATAAAAATATGATTAATATAAATTATATCTTAAGATATGGACATTCTCAAAAAAATACAGGTATCCACCTAATTGGTGGGGAAAGATTCTGAAAATTGGCATTTAAATGTTATATGTAATATAGTATCATGTACTTGTACTTTCCTGTCCGTTGTTTCCCTGTTTGGTCAGTGTATGTCACTGGCCACCCCCTTCTTAGCATTTGAGTCCTTAGTGATTGTTAATGACCCTCACCTGTCCCTAGTAACTCCCAGCCCTAGTGTTTGTTTAATTATCAATGACCCACACCTGTTACTTGTCTAGCCCTCATTTCTTGTGTGTGTGTATACATATATACATACATGCCGCGCTCGTCCGCTACTCCTGTGTACCACACCCCCTCGTTAACCTCTTGTGGAATCCTTATGTCATTAGCTGTTTCAAATTGTTTTCATTAGCCCTATGTATTTAAGTCCGCGTCATAGTATGTTTCCCTAGTCCTGTCATTGAAGTCGCTGCCTTCATTGCCCTGTGTTCCTAGCTGTTTAATAAATCTCTCGTTTCCTGATTCTCTGTCTCCCTGATTTGTGAAGTGACTATATTTACATATATATATATATATATATATATATATATATATACACACACACACACTTTTTTGTGCCTGCCCTTGCCCTATTGTCAGTCATTGTAGGTATCAGTGTGATGTGTGTTTACTCCATGCATGGTTTTGTTAATGGTCCCATGGTGTTTCTCTTCGTTAGTCTTAGCTCTTGTTAATCCTTGATTACCTACTTGCCTTCTGTTTTAGCTGCTGGTGGTCCTTTTGTTTCTGGTTTCTTTGTATTGTTTATAATAAAACCCCTTTGTTGTGGATCATTCCTCCTTCCCTACACCCAGTAATGATAGAATGACCAACCCTGCATGACAATCTAGCAGCATGGCCCCTAGTTCTAAATAACCATCACACCCACCATCTCGCCGGAAGACCTCATTCCCCACATCCAAATATCCGCAAGACAGAAACTCAGGTTCTTTGTTACAGTGACAGGGCATGATGCAGGCAGAAATTAGGTGATGAACCACTTGTGGATCCAGACAAAGGGATTTATTAAACAAGCTGAACACACAGGGGAAGGCACAAAATGAAATGGACTGCGAGGGGTCAAAAGGCAAACAGGGAAAACAAGAACTAACTTAAAGACACCATAGAATAATCCAAGTTGGGAGCAGGACACTGCAATTGGACACAGCAAAATACAGTAACATAGGCAATAACTAACTAGGGAAACAAACAAAGGCAGGCATCTAAATACACTAATAACAAGAACTAACAAAGGGCAGGTGTGAATAATCAAAAACAACAAATCAACAAGGGCACAGGGCAACAAGACACAAGTGAGGCAACTAACACTAATGAACACAGAACTAAGGAACTACAGACCTGAAACCAAGAAAACACAGGGGAATACTACACTAGGAAAATGAAGAAAACAAAGTACAACATAAAACCGGAACAGAATACAAGGAGGGCAAATCTAGAACAGGAAACATAAAACACTGGGGAACAGAAACTCAAATACAAAGAAAAAGATAAAGCTGATCATTAGCCAGCCTTGAACCCATGACTGGGGAATGCAGTCCCTAAGCAACCCACTCAACCTGTTGAGCCATGCGGCAGGCCAGGCAATAGGGAAAGCACATGGGCTGAAGGAAAAGACACAGGGTGGCGAACAGGATGGCCAGCAACACCTGCTGGCTAAACGAGGAGGAGACACGAAGGGCAGCGTTGGACAGTACAGACCCTGACACTGTTAACCATGATGATCACCCTATCACTGGAGGATGGGCAACCAATTTCCTCATGCATCCTGGTCACTGACATTTTTAGCTCCTGGATGTATACAGGTAGGTGGGGCAGAAGTTGCACGTGCGCTCTTCTCAGTCAGACTCTCAGGAGGTGAACCAGATGCCTTGCTGGATATACCGAACCAGATAAAAACCTCCACTAATGTAAGTCCCTTGCCTCTGGGAATGCTAAACCCCAGAGAGGAGGGAGGAAGACCAGCCCCAACAGCCAGCAAACCCCCTCTGAGGGGACTGAGGTTTTGGTTGGCCTGGAAGCAGCCCCATCCACATCTCCAGTGCCAGACCCAAAAGTAGCCCTGTCTATGTCTTCCGTCTCAAGCCCAGAAGAAGCTGCATTCATGTCTCCAGTGCCAGAACCAGAAGAGGCTGCACCTGTGTCTCCAGTGCCAAGTCTAGAAGAGGCTGAGGCATCCATGCCCAGCCCAGAAGGGAGCCCGTCAGAGTCCCAAGTTCCCGGCCCAGAAGAGGGCCTGCCAGAGTCCCAAGTTCCGAGCTTGGAAGAAGCCGCTTCTTCAGCACCTGATCCCCTAGCTGTTTCTCCTGTTCCTGATTCCCCATCACTTCTCCAGCACACTTCCCCAGCCGCTTCTCCAGCACATGACTTCCCAGCCGCTTCTCCAGCACCTAGCCCTGAAGAGGCCCCATCACTCGCCCCAGGGCCCTAGGAGGTTGTGTTGCCTGCTCCAGTTCCCGAGGAGACCATGTCGGACGACTCTTAGGCCCCTCTGTTGGTAGCTGATTCCCCATATCTTCC